TTACTACAATATAATGGCAACAAACAGGAAAATAAATGCTTAAAATGGTATGATTTATAATAGCATAAAAAACCAAATACTTGGAAATCAATCTAATAAAATATGTGTAAGCCCTCTAGGCAGAAAGCTATAAAATCTTATTGAGAGAAATTAAAGAAGACCTAAATATGCCATGTTCATGAATTAGAAGACTCAAAATTGTAAATTTGCCAAGTCTTAAATGATCTATAGATACAATGCAATCCCAATCAAAACTCCTGTGTGTGGAAACTGACAAGCGGATTCTCAAGTTGATACCGACATGGAAAAGGTCAAAAATAGCCAAGAATTTGTTGAACAAAGTCGAGAGGACATGCACTCGACCAAATATGAAGACTTATTACAAAGCTATTTTAATTAAGACGGTATGGTACTGGCATACAGACAAATGGGCCAATGGGACAGAGTGCCCACAAATAGGCACATGCATATAAGGACACTTGCTTCATGACAGAAGTAGCACTAAAGAGCAGTGAGAAAAGGAGAGACTTTTCAATAAATTGTGCTATAACAAGTGGATATTAATACGGGGAAAAATGAATTTGTTCCCTACCTTATGCACCAAAATAGCTACATACAAAAATATGGATGAATTTCCCAAACATAAGTTAAGCAACAACAAAATACTGTAATAGTCCATTCATACAAAATTAAAACGAAACTAAACGGTAAGAAGTCAGGATTGCAGTTAATTTGGGGAGGAAAAAGTGTTAATTGGCAGTAGCTATAAGAGGAGTTTCTAGAAAGCTGGTGAGTATTTCATTTCTTTGCCTGGGAGTGGGGTGGGGTGGTGGTGGTATAAAAAGTGGTTAGGCACATTCATTCATTCAACAGCTATTTATAGAAAAATCAATACATACCAGGCATTTATTGTACTATATCAGGATCATCAAAAAGCATGATCCCTGCTGTGGTGGTGCTTTCCTCTGATAGCAGAGACAGACAAAAATAATTGCAGTAATGAACACAGATAAATATACACAATCACCTAGTGGGGTAGGTGCTCTGGGAGTTACCCTTAGCTTGCTGCACAACTTGGACTGTTTATTGGGGGTGGGGTTGAGGAGGGAAGCCATTAAGTCCTTCACTGGACTGAATCATAAAACTAGTTCAGAAGTGTTCTGCCCACCCCTAAAAAGCAGTGGTTACTCCTTTTATCTATAATAACTGGTTCCAATGACATTTTAGATCTACACTTAGTTACCCTTAGGTATCCCATCCGTTTATCCAAGGAAAATCTTGGCTTGAAAGTCATGGCACCAGCCCCTAAAAAAACCAAGAGAATATCATTAATTTTTAGTTAATTTTAGGACTCTTACTCTAAAATCAAAAAGTGCTTTTGAAATCCTAGTTCAAAAAGCCATGAGTATTAAAACAACCTGTTCCAGGTTATGAAATACTTATATGCTCATGGTAGAACACCTGGGAAATCAGAAAATTGCAAAGAAAACAAAAATCCATAATCCTATCGCCATTGCTACTGTAAATGTGGTGCATCTCTTTCAGTTTTTGAAATGCCTGTATATATTAATTTTCACAGTCCAGAACAGAATTTCTATGTGGTTTTGCAAATTGAGTTTTCCATTTAAAAATATAATGGGAATTTCTCCAGTCATTAAATAATCTTCCTAAACATAATTCTTAAGTTTGTAAAAAGTCCATCCTATAGACATACATAAAAGTCAGTTTGTTTACGATGTTTTCATAGGAAGGAATTCATAGTTGTGGGCCTGTGTAGGTAAACGCTGCCCTGTAATCAGGGAAGGTTAAGATCACAGGATCACCCTCCAAATAAAGTACTTAAAACCAATTTAAAAGTTTTTCCAAGGCAAAGGAGTGCTGTGAATCCAGCAATTTCCAGTTTTCCCCCAAAGGAGAATCATCTCAGAGAGAGGCCATCCAGGGATCGCCCAAGTTCTGAGAAGCGTCCAAAGCGTGGCTCAAGGTCCTGGTGACGGGGCGGGCGCGGAGCTGCTCCGAGGGCCGCAGTCACAGACCGGCCGGGCCGCAGAGTTCCCCGCCCCGCGGCGCGGGGTGCCGGGCGGAGCCGGAGTCCCGAGAGTCCTCCACTTTCCGCGCGGGTTTATCCGCGCCCACCCCGTCAATTCCCGGGACGCTGCCGGCCGCACCTGCTCCGAGCCGAGCGTCCGCGCCTGTCCGGCGCCGCGCCCGGGCAGCGGGGCCCCCTCCCGGCCTGGAGGTCGGGCCCGGCTGCGCCGTCCGCGCGCTACTCCGAGCCCCAGATGCTGGTCGCGCAGCCGAACTTGGGAGGGACACGCTCCGAGTCCCCGCCCTGTCCGGACTGCCGAATCCGCACCCCGCCGCCGCCGGGAGCGCGCAGGCGCAGCAGCCCGGGAGTCCCGCCAGCGTGCGCGAGCCAGTGGTCGCTGCGGCGGGGTTGCCACCGCTCACCATGGGCCCGAGGCCGCGGCTGCTGATACCGCTCGTGCTTTGCGTGGGGCTCGGCGCGCTCGCGCCTTCTTCGGAGGCCTCAGGCGTTCGCAAGCGAGGCCCCTTGGTGACGGCCAAGGTGACCGAGGGGCGGGCAGCAACTTCCCCGTCTGCGGGCTCCGTGCTTTGGGCACTGGGACCTCTGTGGCAGGGCAGCGAGGAGGGGGATTCCCTGGCGGGGCGGGGGCGGGAGGCGGCCGCGGGCTAGGTGGGAGGGGGCCGCCCGTGGGGGGAGGGGCTGGCGCTCTCCCGGGAGACTCTGGGGGCTCTGGGCTGCGCCCAGCCCGCCCCCGGCTGTTTGGACTCAGTCTCCTGGGTCGGTGGTCCGCAGTCACCAACCTGGGAGCTGGAGAGGCTTCGGAATCGGCGGGCCCGTTCTCCAGGAAGGAGACTGACCAAGTACTTCCTTCGGCGTGGCCTGGACTCGGGAGCAGAGCTGGGCGAATACGGGAGGGACTGGGACGGGCGGGGAGAAAGCGCTCGGAGCAGAGGGCTGGCAGCCGGGCCACCGCTGCGGACGGCACCAGGTCCTGGAAGAGCTGCGGTGCAGGCGTCAAGTGTCTAGCTTAAGTGAGAGGCTGTCCTCCTCCTCTTTTTAGGAATCGTCCTCCCCCCGGAGGGAAAGGTTCGCTTTTAGACTAACGGCTGGTGGGCAGGCCCTGGGCTTGGGATAGTGCTAGGCACGCAAAGACAGCACCTGTCGAATCGGGGACAGCTTCGATGGGGGCGTGGGTGCGGGAAGGGGAAATCTGCTAGCCACTGCGTCTTTAAGGCTTCTTCGTACTTACTCCGCTTCAGTTCTTTTTTCAGCATATTTACCCACCGTTAGAAGATAATGGAAGGGTGCAGGGAGAGAGAGGGAGGGAGTAATTTGGTGCTCATGATCACCACTTGCAGAAAACCCACTGGCAGTAGTGTCTTGGAAACTGAAGGGGGGGGCAGCTGAAAGCGGTCTTAACAATCAGTCTGGGGTTTGCCAGTGGAAATTGTACTGTTGAACTAGTAGAATGCTTAAATCCTCTCGAGGGGGAGCCCAAGGGGGTGGCGAGAGGGGTGTTCAGATCTGATGCAGCAGAAGAGAGAACACGGTGGCCAAGCCACCCTGGGTGCAGTTGATGAACTCAGCCTGATTGTTTTGAGAAGCACAGATTCTACTCTCAGCCCTTGATCTTTCAGGCATATCTTAACTTTGGGAAATGGCTTGTGCAGGCCACAGAGCTGAACAGGGGTCTCTTGGGATAGAGCCATAAACATAAATTTATGAAATGGTGATGGACATAAACCCTAATATAGATTAGGTAACATTTAAAAACACCTGAAAGTTGAGTAAAACCAACCTGGTGAGGACTCAGGAGGCAAAGGGAACTGCACCTGCAAAGGTCTTCAGACAGGAAAAAGCCTTCTGTGTGCTCTGAGGATGCAGAGAGCTGACGGTGGCTTCAGCGCACGGTGAGAAGAGAGTGACTTGGGATGAGGTTGAAGGAGTGCACAGCAAGATCATGCAGGCCTCAGAGGCCACGGGAGGCGTGTGGGCATTGAGGCAATTATTCTTATAATCTGAGGTCAGTTAGAGCCACTGAAGGGTTTTAAACATGGGAATGACGTCATTCGTGTGTGCTTTTAAGAAATGACCATGGCCGCTCAGTGGAGAGTGAACCGGGAGGTCATTCGGGGCTCCAAGACAGAGTCCAGATCGTGGCTTGTTTTAGTGTGGTAATTGTGGAAATGGCGAGCAGCTAAAATACCGGGTGCCCAGTTAGATGTGAATTTCAGATGAACAATGAATCATTTTTTAGTGAGTATGTCCCCCCAGCAATATTTTGTGAACAAGTTTCACCTGGGAAGCATTTGAAATCTGAAGGAGAGACCCATCCCAGAGCAAGTGAATTACAATCAGGCGGTGGGGCCCAGCCTTATAGCTTGTAAAAGCTTTCTGGGGATTCTGACCCTGGGCCTGGGCTGGGCGCCAGTGTGGGGAGGAGGAAGCTGGGGGCTGCAGGAGGGGAAGAGCTGGGGTTTCCTAACCCCTAGCCTAGGGCACTGTCACTGAGGGAGCGTTTTCATGTACTCTGCTCTCAAAATTGTCACTTAACGTATTTTTCCCCCACCAAATTTATCCTTAAGTTCTAAAAGCTAACTGTGTAGGCGAGTCTTAAACGGATTCAACTCTGTTGAATTACTGTACTTTTTCAGTGAACTTTTTTAAACAACTAAATCTATTGGAAAATGAAGACATTAAAAGTAATTTCTCTGAGTGCAGAAAAATAGTTCAATTGGCCATTGCTCTAGTGTATTGTTTTCCCCAGCAGTCTTTTTGATTACCTCGGATTTCATTTAAAAATAGGAATCTGTAAATAAGAGAGGTGCCACGGGGTCTGTTAGTGGCACTAACTTCCTCCATGGAGCCTGCTGCCAGGCCAGCCTGGCAGCTTCCTGCCCCAGCCATAGAGGCTCAGGTGGGGGCTCTGCTTCACTTGTCTCCGACTGATTTTGCAGCCCTGCATTTTCCAGCCAATGCCAAGGGATGTGTGCAGGGTCCAGCACTGAGAGAGCACAAAGTAGTGCTGCATGCTTTCAGCTGCACGCACATCACCACTTGCGAGCACATTAGCATGTCGTGGCCAAGAGGCTACGGCTGACCTTGGCAAGTTATCCAATGTCCAGGCTCAGTTGCCTCCTCTGTAAAATGGAGATAGAAATAATACCTACCTGGGAGGGTTTTGCACTAGATATGATCAAGCACATGTCTTAGTCTGTTTGTGTTGCTATAAAGGAATACCTGAAGCTGGATAATTTATAAAGAAAAGAGGTTTATTTAGCCCACGCTTCTGCTGGCTGGAAGGTTTAAGACTGGGCATCTGGTGAAAACCTCAGGCTGCCTCCACTCCTTGTGGAGGGCGAAGGAGA